TGTAGCTGTGATGAAATCTGCAGCTGATGCACAATCTCTCCCCTAGCCTGTCCGTGAAATGGCATTTGAACAAGCTTGTGGCATGTTTTTGACATGCACATATGGAAAGATTGGAAAGCGTTAAACAGGTTTGAATTTCTAACAAATGTCATGTGAAAGCACTCACACTAAAAGCTTTTATGTCTTTCTCAATTATTTAATCTCTGCCAGTTCAGATGTGTGTCTCTCCTGGTGCAGCTTTAATCCACATTGACATGTGGTACAGTGAAGTACATTGGAGTTTCAGGGCTAAAGCGATAAATGAGGCGTATTGTGATGATCTTGAAGTGTCTGGTGCTACTTCGTGTGTTTCTCGGTGTCCTGGAGTTTTGTGTTAAGTGTGCGCTAAGGAACTAAGTCTTTTAGCTCTTACCATGGTGTAGGCGGAGGCAACCACACCATTGTTGTCACTGAGCTCCAGTCTGTGTAAGACTGCAGCTTCTGAGTTGGTGGGGGGGGGGTGAAGTGTTGGAGTGCAGCCCTCACTTTAGAGACTAACACATCACAGAATCAAGCTGTGTAAAAGCACGGTGAATGGCCAGGGAAGCGCACGCTCTATCTATCTTATGCGTGACCTACTTACCACAAGTCACGCATACAGAATACACGCTAGAACCCAACTTCAGCTCTTTGGAGAGACGTGGCAGCCATGCTATTGTTAGCTGAGCAGAGGCTGTACTGCAGCTGCAGTATGATGTTGAATTTGACCTTTGGGAATAAATTTGAGGGAAACTCTCTCATGAGAAAGAGAGAGTGAGAAAGAAGCCCACTGTATCACACTTTGGTGCTGGGAGAACATGGTATTTCCTTTAAGTAGGAAATAGGTTAGATTCTCTTACGTAGATAGGAATTTGAATGAAGCCCAAGCAGATGAGATCTGAGCTGTTCACTCTGAGGAGTACGTATGTAATTTTTAGCTGCCTTCTTTATCCCCTACTGGACTAAGAATCAGTTGCTCCTCCCGCGGTTATAGAGACGTTGGTGACTTATGTTTTCCTCAAAATATGCTGGTTGAGGCGCAGGCGTTAGCATGTTTATGCTTTAAAGGAGCTGGGATCTGGGTGATTTACTCAATGGAGCAGCAGCAGGTATGGGCTCCGGGAATGAAACTCCACCAGCTATCCCACCTTTCAGTCCACATGAAGGTAGGACATGCATGGAGCCCTTTATTCTGAAACTAGAAAATATCTCTTACTCGTCTACATGCCAGGAATGCAAGTATTTTCTCAAGAACTTGTATCATATCTCAGTCCAGGGTGCTCACTGTATTATCTTGTCTTACTAATTTAGCTCCCTAGATTTTGTACTGCACCCATTACCTGAATTTCTGAGGTTGTGACAAGATTTAACTGATGTAAATGTTATGTCAGGTGAATCCTTTCACTGAATGTTTCCTAATGTAATTTCTTTCTTGCCTGAAGAAATACCATATACAAATGTCCCCTGGGAAATAGTCCTGTTGTGCAATTCTGTGTTTTCTAGCCAAAACCTCACAGCGGTGGTGGACAATTCTGCAAGGACACAGCAGTTCTGAAACTTGTCTTTGAGCACCTTTTTTGAGGAGCCACAGAAATAAGCTCACTGACTTTATGGTGGGTGGGTGGCTGGGGACACCTTGGAGGCGTGAACACTGTTTTTACTTAGCTGGCCTCCACTGAAAATGCAGAGGACGACAGGTGTGAATTGAAGACACTGCAGCTGGATTAATAATTTGCTTCACATCTGGGCCAGACGCTTAGAGTTTGGCAAAGGTAAGTTGAAGATCCACCATCTATTTTTACGTGTTGGCCCGACCATGCCACAGTTTATGCTCTATGTCAAAGATTTGGCTGTGGCTACAGCTCATGCAACTACAGATTTTCAATGGACAAGACTTATCAGTTGTCAAACAAAGTAGATCTAATAGCTTTAATTTTGAATTTGTTTTTAATTTAGATTTTTGTTTTAAAATCAAGAACTTTTTGGATTGATAAGAGTGTGGAATACGCTTTTTGTTTAAACTGTTTGAAGAGGTATTTAAAATAAAATTAATTATATGTAAAGTTCTCCTGAAATGTATTTGACTTTTTACAGTACCAAATTTCATGTCGCGTCCAAGGGAGATGTAAGTGTTCCCCGCTCTCACCCAGACCACCACCAACCTGCGAGGCAGCTGCGTGCATGGCAGAGACTACTGGAGTTCAGGTTGGAGCCTGGCTTTGAGAGCAGAAGCAAAGAAGAACAAACTGTTCAAAGCCTTATGACAGGTTAGGCTGTTGCTATACGCGTTGTTTCCTCCCTCGCCCTGTGACTGCAGTTACTTGGTGAAAGAGCACAAGATCTCATTTGCAGCAATCAAGATGCAAAGGGATTGCTGCCTTTTCCTGCCTTGTGGCTACACTGTTTTGCCATTGCTGGGGATGGAAGCCCACTGGTGACAGTGGCAGTTCCTCAGTTTCCTTTCCTGGGCTTTAGATCTGCTCCAGAGGGACGTATCAAAGACAGCATTGTGACTGCATGTTTACTGCGGAGCAAAGAGATAGGCATCTGGGTACAGTATGAAAACAACACGCACTTTGCAGGACCTGGTGATTTCTCTTGTGGTTAACTAATGTTTTCAATGAGGGAAGTCCAGGAAGCAGCTGTGGGTCGTGGTGGGAAAGGGGGAAGGAGGAAGACTGGCACAGGAACATTCGTGACCTGTGAGCCCTTTGCTGTTTGCAGTGTGGTTGCACGCATTACTGCGACAGCTCTCCTTGACTCTCAGATTAAAATCTACCACTTCACCACATATCAAGGAACATTTACTACCACAGGAGGAAAAGTTGCTGTCTGGCTTCACCTCATCAGCTATAAAGATTCATTCATCTCTGCCCAGTTAGCAGGTTTGCTAAGGCAGAATAAAACGCAGATTCTTTTCCCTTGGCTCTCGTAGTAGTTAATACCTAGAAAGAGCAGGTCTCTGGAGTTAGAGCTATTTGGAGAGTCTTTTTTTTTTTTTTTTCAGATCAAAGCTGTGCTTATATATGTTGGATTTCTTTTTTCCTTGGATGTGCAATGATTCTTGAGGTTATGTCTTGGGCACTAGAGCTTCAGTTATTTCTCATCTGCAGCATATCCGAGTAAGGAATTGCCCATCAGGCAGACAGATCATCGGGTGCATAATGCAAGCAAAATGAATCTCTCTGTGCTCTGATGTGAATAGGCTGCATTTCATAATGAGGAATAATCTGGTACAGATACTTCATGGAGCTGGCTCGCTATATGCGCTTGCAATGGTAAAGCCAAGACCTAAAATAAGCAGTGGGTATAGAACACAGTACGTTGACTTTGCAGTAAGGGAAGAAGACCAGCAAAGGAAGTGGAACTGTTTAGTGCTGGCACTACCCTAAAAAGCTGGGCTGTTGTGGCAGATGGACAGTGTCATCGGTATCTAATGCAGCCTCCCAGGCATGGAGCTAGAAGGACAAAGCCGGGAAGGAGAAGAATCAACCTCACAAGTTTGATTTTATGGGAGCAGCCGGCAAACGGCAATAAGAGTTTGGCTGTTGACTATTAGGAACTGTGAAGTTAGTCAACATGGACTTGGAGCGAGTGCTATATTAAATAGATGTTCAAACCAGAATTGCCTACATACGCTGAATGAGGATTCTGATTGGGAAATACCTGCCAAAAAAACGGGTGGTGGAAGTTGAATAACAAACCACCCATGCCGCTAATAGTGCTGCAATGCTATCTTCGAAACAGGCTTAAGGAATTCACTGTAAAGATGTGGTGCAGGTAGGAACCTGCCATAGACAGTTTATTTGCTGGAGACAAATGGTCATGATTCTGGTATACAGCATGGTAGCGCCTCAGCAAAAGAAAATGGAGAGAGGATTAATGCAAATGCTAGAGGTCTTTGCAAAGGACCCAAACTGTTTACAACTGGAGTGTGTTTAGCTGCAGGCTGCCAATGTGAAACTGAACTCAGAGGCACCCATTTTTTTTTTGGTGTGAGGTAACTCACTTCAGCAGCATTATCGTAGAACAAGGCATTTCCTTGAGCACCCCCCACCCCGGGGGGGAAAAAAAAAAAAAAAAGCAAAGCCTGACTGCAAGACTGGGCCGTTCCCTCAGCCCATGAAGACACCCAGTTTTGCAGTCTTCTGCTTCTACCACGGGATAGTTGTGACTGACGATGCCAATAGTGCAGTGCCATCGTATACAGCAGGTGAGCAAGGCAGGGCAGGGAGCTGAAACCCCACTATTCAAAGCTGATCTACCCCTGCTTCAAAAGAGACCTCCTGACTGGAGCAGCTGGATGAAACTGAGGGTGAGTGATTTGTCTGTGGGCAAAGTAGAGCTGCTAATCACCTCTTCTAACTTGAAACGTGAAGGCCTGAGAGTGCTGCTGCAGTCCCATGATGTGAGCATGGGTGTGAGGCTTGGGCATCCCCTTCTCTCCCCAGCCATCACATTGCAGATTGTGGCAGCGACTGCATGTTAGCGATGGTTGCTGCTGGGGGAAGGTCCTGTGCCCTGTGCTGAGGAGCTGTTGCAGTAGGAGGGAAGAGGGAAGGTATAGAGTTTCTCACCTCTTGTTTCATCATTGCCTAAAATCTCAGAAAACCCTCGAATGTATCACTGCTTTCTATGACAGCTGAGAGTCCTGACAGTGGCTTATTTCACTGCACAGGTAAAAATGCTCAGTTACACTGTACAGCTTGTGAACTAACTAAATTGGGAGTGTAGGCTAGCAGTTTGGCTCAGCCAGAGCAGCGGGAACACCTGGTTGACTCAGTGAACGAGCCTGGAGGCTTTTTGCCCCAGGTCTCCTTCGGGGAAAGCCTCGTGTTTGTCCATGCCTTCCAGGTGGTGGTGATTTAGTGCCCGATTTGGACTGCACAACATGAAGCGGCGATGAGCATCTTGGGCCTGTTACCTGCGGGGTGTGTTTGCCTTTCTGTTTTTTTCTATTTTATGTTTTCTGTGCGTGAGTTGGGGAGTTGGGTAGTGGAGAGGCAGCACCTTAGTTTTTCACCACCATTCTTCCCATCAAGAGCTTTGCTTCTCACTGTGGCCTTTCCTGCTTGGGAGGGATGAATAGAAGAAGCTGGTGACTCTGTCTCCACGGGGGGTGCAGGACCGCCGTGTCCAATACCTCTCTGGCACGGTGGGATGCAGGAAGGGGCAGCTGAAGAAACTTGGCTTCCGCTCTTGAGTGGCCATTCCTCAGGCAGAGTTCCTGGTGAAGCAGATGGAATTTATGCTAAATAATAGCTACTGAGTCGATCCAGACATGTGTCATGTATACCTCCAGGACAGTCTGAGGCTAACACCTGGGAAAATTTCTCCACCCACATTTTGCTTAACAGTTTCATTGACAGGCTACCAGAGAAATGACGAGCAGGCTAACTGGAAATGTCTGCTCTGCCTGTAGGTCATTAGCTCAGTCAATCCAAGTGAAACTCTGCAATTCCCTTTTTCATAAAACAGTATATATTTCACTTTTCTTTTGAAGGCTTGTTTCTTCCCCAAGTTTTGTTATTAGGAACCCAAGCATTAGGTAGATACAGTGGTGCCTGGTGCTGTGGCCAGCCTCTGCAGTCAGTCCTTCCAGTCCTCGGTGCATGGGGTTTAACAACAGCCCCAGAGGCTGGGGAAAGCTCCCATCTGTGGAGATCGCTGGCTGGAGCTAGCAGTCTCGATTGGCCCTCAGGCCTCAAAATCATGAACCAGAACAGGCTGTGATGGGTCAAAGCCTTTACATGTGTTCCTGCGGAGAGCCGCTTTAGCAAAGACCTTGGTGTGTTTGGCCACGTTGGTCCTTGGGCTGGGACTGGTTAAGGGGAGATGCTGGTGGCGCCAAGCAGGTCCTAGCCTGGAGTAAGGCTGGGCGAGAGCACGGCCTGCAGGGCAGGGCTGCTTTGCAGACATTGTGCCCAGGTGACTTCATGCAGCACCCGTGAAACAAGAGTCTTTCTAGCTATGTGTAAAACCTCCTGCACCAGCTCTCTGGGAACGGGAAGGAAAAAAGAAAAGCTTGAAACCTGCATGCAGCCTGTCTCGGTGGCAAGCCCTCGCAAGCGAGAATTTGGCCTGCAGTATGAACCTTCGCATCCCCCCGCAGGGGACCCTTGCTGGTGCTGAAGTCAGCTCCAGCCGCTGTGTGCGTCTTGCTCCTGGCTGTGCGCACCAGGGTGGTGCAGCGGGGACAGCCACAGCGCGGCGGAGCGAGCAGTCGGGGCACCCGTCCAACATGCGAATGCCGAAGGCCCTCACAGACACAGGTTTCGCTTTGCTTTACAATAACAAGGAAGAGAAACTGCCCAGCGTGCTGCAGGAGCACGCGTGGGCTTCGCTAGGAAACCGGCTGCAGACCGTAAGTGTCCCCCGGATGGCTTTTTCTTGGGGATGCCCTCTGTGAGAGCCCACATGAATGGCAAATTAGGACTGAACTTTGGCACAGTGGTCTGGAGTTTGGTGGACTTTCTTAATGCTTAGGATTGGTCAAGGAAAATTAAAAAAAAAAATAAGTAAAACCAACTGTTTCTCCGTAACCTCCTTCCCCTTCTGCAGCTGTGTGAAGAATAAGGGTGTGGATCCACCCGAAAGCCCCACGATGGAAGTCAGTAAATTGCTATGATCTGGCCTGTATGCTCCTTAGGGCTCTTCAGGGCAGGTCTTAACCTTAAAGGCAAAAAAGAGTTATATCCCTGCTGTCCCCAGCTCTGCTCCTCATCTACTTCTTTACATGACTTCTCTGAAGGTCACTAGCCCGGTTCAATTCAAGAATAAATGGAGAAAAGGGAAAGAATATCTAGTTTTTCCACTGCAATTTCATATAGTCGTCTATCCCTGCTTCGTAGTTTGTGGTGCTACCTCAACGCACAGGCAGATCTACAGCATCGCCAGGGCACAGAAAGTGCTGGGCTTACTTAGCATGCGCCTAAGTCATGGTGCTGCGTCATGGGTTAAAAAAGAGGAAAAAAGGGGAACCTAAGCCACAGTATTTCTTTGGGAGGAAGTATCTGGCTTATAACCATGTATTTATTCTGAAGGACTGTTTTAATTTCAGAAGGAGGTTAGCCCCTGCAGCTGTCCCAAACCTAAGATTCTTCGGGT